AAATAGTCCCTCCTCATCTTTCCTGTAGGCCTCCTTTAAGTACTGGAAGGCTGCTATAAGGTCTGCCTGGAGCCTTCTCTTTAGGTTGAACAACCCCAACTCTCTCAGCCTGTCCTCGTAAGGGAGGTGCTCCAGCCCCCTGACCATCTTTGTGGCCTCCTCTGGACCTGCTGGAGCAGGTTTATGTCCTTCTTATGCTGGGGGCCCCAGAACCGGACACAGTACACCAAGGTGGGCTGTCACGAGAGCAGAGTAGAAGGGAAGAATCATCTTCCTTGATGTTGGTCACACTTCTCTTGATGTAGTCCAGGATACGACTGGCTCTCCGGTCTGTGATTGCACATTGCTGGCTTATAGTCAGTTTTCCATACACTGCTATCCCCAAATCCTTCTCCTCAGGGCTGCTCTCAATCCACTCATCACCCAGCCTGGATTTGTGCTTGGGATTGAGAGTTGCATGGGACTAGGCAATTAAAATTTTGTATTGGGATGCTGAGATCTCAATACCGAGATGCACTGAAATGGTAAGATTGATAAGATCTAGGGTTTGAGTGATTAGGGTTTTTTGTGTTCGTTTTGTTTTGGTTTGGGTTTTTTTTGTTTGTTTTAAGATCAGTTTATTTGTTAGTAGGGTAATATGTTAGTTTAAAGCACAGAACTCTGGAATAAAGGGTCTAGATCCTGTATCTTCCATTCCCCCCATGCATATCTTGGGAAAATGCCTTTGCACCTCTGTTTTTTCAAAGGTAAACCAGGAACAGCTGTGTCTGCTTACATGATAGAGTTGTTCAGACCACATTATTTATAACCTGCACCCTGAGTCTGTGGAAGAGCACATCTCACCTCCCCTATTTAAGTTATACTCGTATTTGATATTGCAACCTGCTTTGAAGCTACACACAAGTTTTTACTTATGGAGGTGGGAGGTAGGGACAGAGGGAGGAGGTGGGAGGTGCTGGCTTGAGAGAAAAATGTCTTTGTGATCTCTGTAACTTGCCTTACTGATAACTGGAAGGAGATTTTCCTAATAGAAAACCTGTGAGCTATGTGAGGAGGGTAATCCATTGACACTCCTAAGCCTTCAAGCCATCATGACATTTCATTTTTCACCAACTGCAAGACCATTTCTTGGGATTCATTTTGATTTCAATGCAAAGTCAACATCGCTTAGTCCAGGAGCAAGATCAGAATGGGGATGTCGGAGCAGGGCACACAAGTGGGGACATAGCAATTGTATTTGGAGAGGGTAAGAGCTGGTGGCAACAAGGAAGAAAAACAGGGCATGTTTGTGCAAGTGACCTCATTTATATCAGCATGCTGAGGAGGGAGCAAATGTACTGCACTGAAGGGAGTGAGTCCACATGCATTAGGGAGTGGGTACAGCACGACATGGCTGGCACAAGCCCAGGTGCTGCTTTGTAGGGTGGCAGGTCAGGATTTGCAGGGCAGCTGGCATTCTCAGCACCGGGCTTTTGAAGCTCTCTGCATTGCAGGCTGTGCCGAAATGGTGCAGGTTGGTTATCAAGCACTGGTGAGAAGGGCGTTCTGCTCTGGCACCCACCACCCCTCTGGACAGGCACTAGCAGTAGGAAAGGACCCACAGCCCCCGTGGTGCTGAATAGACCCCTGTGAGCGACTCACTCAAAATAATAATTTGTTAGTTCAATATTTGGCTGTTGAATGGCTCATGGACCAATCCTGATATTGGTTGGGGTTTTTTTTAATACTGTATTTGTTATTCTCTGAATGTTTTGGGTGGATAATTATCCAGTGTGTATTGTGTATTGCAGAATCCAGGAATATTTGCTTTGGCTTTTCTTCCTGGTTAGTTAGGATGTGCGGTTGCTGGCCTAGATCTCATGGCATTGTTTCTGACTACGTAAATGAAATTTTTAAACAAGAGAATAATGAATACAGACCAGAGAATAAGGCACATCCTGTGGCAATTTCACACAGGCAATTTTTCTTGCTAAAATCCATGAGGGGCTCAGCAGTTGTGATTATTTACACATGTACTTAATGGCTGTTCACATATCATTGATACAGGATAACAGGGACCTAATAACCAAGAGCTGATCGAGTTTGGTGGGTGCCTTGAATCATTCCTCTTTTTGTCTGTGTTCCCTCTCCTTCTCCTCTTTTTCTGTTTGACTACAGAGGCACTTCTAAGAAGGAGGAAGAAAACCTTCATTTGAAACCACATGAAACTAAGGCTGGGTGTAACCAGCTTCAAATCCAGACGAGTCAGCATGTAACTTCATGTGTTACTCTTTTTGTCATTCAGCATATGGCGCGGATGGGTGGCATTTTAAAATGCACAGAGGATCACTGTCACACATGCAGTAATGTGTGCACACACATGCACACCCATCAGTATATGCTTACTTTCCACTACAGCCAGTCCAGCTGTGATGCCAGCAGCAGCCCATCTGTGGCGAAGAAAGCTCAGTCTTTCTTTTTCCCTCAGCTCCCTGGATGGGTTTTACCCCCTGTGCCAGGACCCACTTTGCCACAGCTAAAATGGCACCTGAGCTGCGTGTTTTAAAGAGTTTGTCCACATTATGTGGCAGTCAGAGAAATTATTATAATCTTCACAAAACCTAAAGATTTTTTTTTTCCAACTCTTTGAATAAGATTTTGTGGCTATGTTAACACAGGCATGACTTCAAGAGATCGAAACTTCAGCACTAAGTGCCGCAAATGTATGTCCAAGTCCCAGATGTGATTGTGATACTCAGACAGCAGCCATTACCAAAAAGTTAGCAATCCACCACTTCTCATCCCACAAAAAAACTGCTGGCAAATCTTCCTGATGGTCTTCTAAAAGTACAAGAGATCAAATACAAGAAAAAAATATTCTGAATGCCACTAGAAAATAATCTTGGTAAGACACTGAAAAACACACATTCCACTGATGTGGGATTTCATCATTTGCAGGCGCTTTCATTCACTGCCTGTGCAGGTCCAGACCTAAGTTTGGGGATGCAACGGGGACTTGCTGTGAGAGGACAGGGGTGGGGATGGGTGCTATTTGCAAGTCTCCAAACTCATTGCTTGTGAGAGTTGAAAACCTTTGCCTGATGGAGAGGTTTCAGTGGGGTATGAAGGCATGGTGCAGCTTTGCCTGCCATCCACATGCTGAGGGAGCTCTGATGGGAGAATATTTAATTCTGTGATCCCATCTAATCTTGGGAAGCAATACAAGGCAACAGTGGCGATGCCTCCATGAGCTGCCTCACCAGCCAGGATGCTTCCTTTTGGTCACTGCACCCCATTCCTCAGATTAGGGAGGACTGGCGCTGGTGTGAGCCCCCACATATCACAGACTGCCAGTTGCTCAGAAACCCCTACTCTCAATGGGTCATTTTCCAGTGGGTTGAAAATACATCCCCATCCTCAATGTAACCTCTAATCTTGATTAAAATACTTCCAGGGCTGGGCAGCCCGGGCTGCATCCTTTGGTCAGTTCTGGCAGTGGTTCTTGTATTCCCTATTCCCTGTTAATATCACTGCTTGTCAAAGAAGATTTGTGCCTTTTCTGGAAGACGGCCGCCTATTTTGTACTAACCGGGGGAGAGACGCCTCATCAGCTGGTGCCGGGAACAGCGAGTGGCAGACAAGAAAGGCATCCTGTTTTCTGGGGAAAAGGCACAGGAGGTGGGCGAGTGTCTGGCTCTGACTATTAGCTCTGGCTGCTAGCACCACTCCTGCCCTTTCAGGATGCGACATAATCCTCTGTTTTAACCATGCGCAATCGCTGAACCTCTTGAGGCAGTGTTTGTGGCAGAGGTACGAACTTCTGTATCCTGGCCAAACTGCAGGACAGATTATGTTCTGTTGACCTATATTTCCCTAAAGTCATTTTCAATTAGTGCAGCAGTTAATCCTCCTGTTTGCACTGTTAAATTTCTCCCTGCTGCAATGCTAAACTGAGACTCCAGAGATCTCTGGGGGGTTTTACTAGCTCCTCCAAGTGGACAGAAACAACTGCCTATAACAAGCCCCTTCTCATATTCTCATGTTTCTTTGGAAAGTTTATCCCATTGCTCGCTGGCTGGTGGTGGAATGGTGTAAGGAAAAGTTTGGTGCCCAGCTCTTGGCGGATTTCCCTGGGGGCAGGAAACCAAAGCCCAGCTTGGGGGGAAGTTCACGTGGGGCCAACCCTGCATCTGGCACAGGCTGCTCTCCGTGACCTGCCAGGACTGGAGAAATTAAAGGTGGCTTCTGGCTGGAAGATGGGAAGGGTTGGCAGAGGCAGCAGGAAGAAGACCTACAAAGGGAAGCAAGGGAGGGGGTGTGAGCGGGGGAAGCAGCTTTTGTGAAAGGTTGGTCATCCCCTCCAGCAACTGGGAGGAAAGAGGGAGATGCTGTTTTGGAAAGGAATAGAGGACGTGCCTTACTTCACGAGCAGGCTCAGGAAAGGTGAAGGTGCCTTCATGGGATGGGTATGATGAATCTCCCTGGTCTCCATTAGATACCACCAAGCAGTTTGGGATCACTGACCCACAGCTCAGGGCAGGGCTCGGGGTGCCCACCATGGCCGTGGCACAGCAAGAGAGCCGTGGCAGTGGCAGGGCCTCTGTGTGAAACAGCCCAGGGGCCTTGGTGGGCAGTGTGGGCAGCAATACTGCCTTAGGCAGAGGGTGACCAGCAGGCCAAGGGAGGTGATGTTCCCCTTCTGCTCAGCACTGGTGAGGCACATCTGGAGTGCTGGGTCTGGTGCTGGGATCCCCAAGACAAGGCAGACATAGACATACTGGAGTGAGTCCAGTAAAAGGCTGTAAAGATGATGGAGGGACTGGATCATCTTTGATATGAGAAGGAACTGAGAGAGATCAGACTGTTCAGCCTGGAAACAAGAAGGCTCAAGGGGATCTTGTCAATGTGTATAAATCCTAACGGAGCTAATATACAAGCTTCCCCTCCTGCCAGTCTGGCTTTCCCTGATTTGTGTGCCCTTGCATCTGATGGTTGGGGTGTTGGTTTTTTTTTTTTTTTGCCTGTGGATAGTTTCACATTATTTTTTGTGTATGTTTAGCATACAGTTGCAGATGCAAAGCACTCATGTATGGGCCCGTCAGCACAGTGTGAAGGTGCGCAGAATCCCAATCCTCCTCTTCTACCTCCTGCTGCTGTTTTATTCCTCCTGTGGTGTGAAATGCAGGAAGTTGATGTCAGTTATTCAATAGTTCAGCAAGTAAGGACATTGTATTTTTAAGTAAGGGAAATATATTGAAGCTAATAATACCCCATCTCATATCACGGAATTGATCTATATTATCAATTTATGCTCAACTTTGAAACAGTCCCATGCAACCGCACAGCCAGTATTCTAGCAAAGTTTTCCACATTATCTTCTCACTATGGGCCTATAAAATCCCCTGACACCTGAAAGAACCTCTCTGTGTAGCCCCTGTCATTACACTAAGATGAAACATATCTTAAAAGTATATTCTACTGTGAAATTCCTCTGGGCTTAAAAATCGAAAAGTTATTTTTGATTGTAGTAGAAATGTGATTGAAACCACAAACCATTTCTTACCTGGGTTTTTCTTCGTCCTTTCTTTTCCTGCTTTTGTTGCTAGGCTCAAAGGAATGAATATTGTCCAGGGTTGTGTCCCCTCTTTTCCCTCTATTTTCCTTCAATTTTGAAAAAGGTGTGGAGAAATTCTCTTCTACCTCTTCCTTAGGCATTAGTCCTTTCTCCCTTATGTGTGGAACTCACACAGACAACCTGGGGAGGAAACAAACTTTAGCCTTGAAAGGAGAATTTGAAAAGCAAAATTAAAGTTTTGTTTACTTAAAACGAAAATTTATTTCTAGGTCAAAGTTTCTCAATTTCTCAAAATTAAAACTTTTCCAATAAACATTCGGTAAGCCTCTCATTTTGTGGACAGGTATATTTTTCAGCTGAATGATTTTAACATTTCTAATTACATTTATTCCCTTTATTTCTGGTAAATCAGCGTTGTCATTCAGAGGTAGTTATGAATACTTCTGTCCTTTTCCTTCTCTCCAAGAATCAGCACACTCCTGTGGGAAAGTTGGAGAACCTCTGTCCATGAAATAGTAACATTCTGGTTCATACATATTCAAGTACAACTTCATTAGAGGATTGGTGCACAAGGCAGATCAGGGCTAAAGCATTTGCTGAGTTTCATGAAGGTTAATTCATCTGCAAAAATCCCACATCAAGGCACCATTTCCAGGGCTGAGGCTGAGGTCTGGAGGGGGCAGAGGATTGACCCTGGCCATGGGTGAAGCAAGCCCTCACCTGAGCCCTGCTGCTGGGAGGAGAAGGCACCGGGAGCGGTAGTGGGGATGCAGCGCCGGCTGGCTCAGACAGTCGTGTGTCACCTGCCAGGGACAGCTCAGAGCTCCCTCCCTCCTGCCCCCAAACCTCGCTTGCTTTCCCCCAACCATCAAGGCTGTTTCCTGAGGTCTCACTCCCTGTCTACCTCCTTTTCCTGCCTGACACTATGTCCTTTAGGTAGCACAGCTCACAGCTATCTTGTGCTGCATCTCCACATACTCCCTGGGATCCTGTGTGCTGTAGAAATGCCAAGAGTGAATCATGCCCTCTGACTTCTCGTCCTTTGCAACATCATCAGTGGGTTAAAACCCCACCTGGCTCACTTGTGCCTAGCTCAGATTTCAGAAGTAGGCTGGGCATGGCTTGTGCAGAAATTCCCTCTGGAGGGAAATTTATCCCACTGACTGTGGAGCCAACACAAGGTTCTCTATACAACAACTGCCACTTCTGCTAATGCACGGCTGTAACTGCCTGTCTTCCTTCTGCAAGATATGCAAAGAGCCAGCCTGACCAGGACCACAGGGTTTGACACCAACTCATGCAGTCTACACATTGGACTTAAATATTAACCTCCCTGAACAAAACACCTGTGAGACCCAGCCTAACCCCTTTGCCTAAACAGCCCCACGGCCAAGGATCCTCAGATCTGTGTCAGCACCTTGCATGGGATGAACATGGTCTGCTGATCACAGCAAAGGAGAATGGCTGCATACCTGCCAGGGTGGTTCACATACCCACTTGATAAGGTGCCACTTGCTGGTCCCAGGTACATTCCCTGGAAAGTGATGATTAACTTCTGGGTGAAGGAGGTGTCATCTTGACTTCTGCCATTTTTTATTTTCCTTTTAAGTAGAAAAATGTGTAGAGGCTGATTTCACCCCTGTCATGATGGTGCTGTGAATCTGAGCAGGTGTTTTTGGCTTTACTGCTGTGTCACAGGCTCCTGGTTTTGTTATCTTGTCATGGAGCCAGGCTGGGCCACACTGGAGCTTGATGACAGCTCTCAGGACAAGCAAAACTTTCTCAGGCCTTCGCTGCCATGCTGTGAGCACAGTGCATTGCCCCTGGGTCTTCATCCCTGCCATGCAACTGGTGGAAGGGGCTGTTCATTTCTAAAGTAGTTCAGCTGCAGGTACTGATACTCATATAAGAAAAACACAAGTCCTTTTTCTTGGGAATCACTTCTGTCACTATCCCTTCTCTGTCTGCTGCCCATGCAACAGCTGAGAGGCAGCTAATATAATTATCAAGACTTAATGAAGGACAGTGCTGTTGGCCAGCACTGTTATCAGGGCAGCTGAGTCTGTTTGGGTTAGGGCAGAACCCATTTTGTTATCAGCCAGCTGCCTTGAAAACTGAGTGAGATTTCATCCTTTGGTTTCAGGTTAAATATGAAAAGCTGTGATTCATCTTTGGAGGGCTGTTTATTAAGCTCCCAGATAAGCTAATCTAGCTGGGATCTCCCCCATGCAAGCAAAGCCCAGAATGGTGCCATGGGTAGTACTGGGACATCAGGACTACAATGGGAGAGTTTCTAAATCATCACTCTTGTTTATTCATATACAGTGCATATTTTTATGCTCAATAGCCTCTTGGGGTCTCTGGCATCAAATGTATATATATTAATAAATCTGTATAAAACACATATGCCATCACCCTTCCTTCTTCATGAAAATGTGACCTTTACTTCCTCAAAGGTTTTGAATTTTGCCTTCTTGGTCGCACAGTATGAAATAAAAAAAAAGACACCCTGCATGATGAAAACCAGAAACATCATGGCTTGAGGTGTTCTTCAGTGTGATGCATGGATTTAAAAAATTGTTTGGGATGGAGCCATGGCATTTGATGACTGGACGTGTGCCTTGTTATTGGTACAGAAGCATGCCAGCTGATGGGGACACAGCTTAAACCACACTCCAGGTAGAGGAAACCAGCTGAAACACTGGGATCAGAGGGAGCTGATAATACAAACCGGACCTTTCTTCTCTACCTTTTCTCACTTGATCCTTGCTAGGACCTTCTACAGGTTATTTTCCTAGAAGTACTGATGGAGGACTTTTGTTCATAAACAAATGAGGTTGGGGAAAAGCGACCACAGCCTGCTATCTCAGCATACCTGTAATGTAGATGGTATTTATCCAATCTCTGAGAGTAGTTTTTGTAACAAGTGATACACTTGTATTTTTTGTTAATCACTAACCCTTACTTGCAATGAAAAACAAATCAACCCCATCTACACTGACTGTCTACATCAGAAGGTGATAAAGTATATTCTAAAGAAGTAGAATATAAAATGTTTTTCTTCGAAGTGACTTTAAAATTAGCTGTTTCAAACCACATTGTTGAAAAGTAACTTATAGGAGTGAAAGCACCTCCAAGCAATCACACCTCTCACTCTGGTATCTAAATCCATCACTTCATGAGATAAAGTCTTTGCTATCCATGCTGGCCTGAGGTGTTTCTGACCCATAATACCTGTCCTTGCCCCTGTCCCTGTGCACTGCACTGCAGTCCTCTAGCTTCCTGGCAAACTTTACATGACACTGTGAAATGAACTGGGGAACTGATCTGGCTTAAAGAAACACCTGCCAAAACCCTCCCCCCTCCTCCTTTTATTTAATCTGGATCAATTCCCCAGTCTGGTCCTGGTGCTAATAAAGCTGACAGGGAAGAAAAAAAATCTTGAGGAGAAGGGGTGAAAAGGTTAGAGAGTAAGAAAAATCTTCATCTTGTCCTGCTGCTGTGGACTCTCTCATGAGACCACACAGCCTGAGCCATGTAGCATCAGGCACCACACTGGGAAAGGTCACCCCAAAACCTGTCAGCCTTGTTGAGTCTCTGCTTCAGCAGAAGTGAGCTCAGGGGGGTTCTCCGTCAGGCCGTGGATCCTGGAGAGATGTCAGGCAGTAGCAGGGAGGATGAGGTGGGTGCCAGGGAGAGAATGAAGGGGCTGTTGGAAGAAGAGCTGCTTTACATGAAAAAAATTTGGAACAGTATAAATAGCTGAATTTTTAGTACAGGCACCTGTATGCTGAAGAAAGTGCATGCCATTCAGGGAAGGGTGATCAGTGCAGACTCTTTTGTACTGTCAGCCAGCGTTACAGGTGTGTCAGTTGATGGGATTAAGACTTGCTTTTTTTGCTTCAACAAACTGTAATTTTATGTATATGCATAGGTATTAAAATGGGGCAAGCCAGATGTGGCTGCAATCACCCTTTTCACATGCTCTCTGCCAAGAAATCCACTCCGAGCTGCACGTGAAGCCTTGCCTCTAGAAAATCTCTCTATACAGACAAGAAATTTGCAGCCTGTGACCCCAAACCATCAACAGGTGACATTGTTATTCTCCTAGATGATTGTCTGCATCCCAAAGGTATATAAACTTCACTCACTTGGTCTCTCTCTTCATTCCCACCCCTGTTTTAAACGGTAATAGGTCATCCCAGAAGCATATTTACTTTCTTGTAATTTTTTGAACTTAAATATAGAATAGCCCAAATTGTTTCAGTCTGAAAATTTTCTAATTAACCACTGGGACACAGTGGAAGAGCTTTGTGAAGTACAATGTACAGCTAAACTGGATAATCATCCTTGAGTTTAAGCATGTGAATGTAGAGATCCAGCACTGTCACTCACAAGATTTTTTTTTTTCTTTCCTCCATATGTACATGCTTTAAGTACTTTCAGTAAGTAAGATTTCTTGTACAAGCTCATATGGTTCCCTATACACAGCTATAACTTCATTGCACTGAGATGGTAGATATTGCGATAAACTTAGAAGGGGAGTGGGGAGGGAGAGGACCGTTTTTAGCAAAGGGATCATCATTAAAGTCAGAGAAAGCTCCTAATTAATAGGAGGAATTTATTCTACTTAGAGAAACTAGCAAAAATATAGCTCATGGCTTTATCTCAGCCTTGATGAACTGCACTTTTTTCTGTATTTTATCTGAGTCTGGTTTAGTCATTCAGGGCTCTTTGGAGATTTCAAACTCTTTGAAAATGCTCATTTCAAATAACTTTGGCTACTCTGATTATCCTGGACATCATTTCTCTATGTAGATATTACTGCAGTGGTTCTGGTCAGTGGAGACACCTGAGCGAAGATACCTGCAGCAAGAGAGGGAACAGCATCTTAGGCAAGAGCCTTCAGTTATTGTCCTTTGAGCCGAGTGGAGAGGCAAACCCTCTGGAGATACATCAAGGACAAGTGCCGTGCAGAAAACTCTAAACCACTGGAGAAATTCAATTTCTCCAACTCGTGGGTTACTGAACAGGTGCAGAGGGAAAGCTTGTCACTGCAGGAAAGAGTGCTGAGGTGTCCCAGAAATCTCACCTGCATGGCACACAGCCGGCTCCTGAGCCTGACCCAGGCCTGCTGCTCTCAGGTGGGCTTGGCAGACCTCCTTGGGTCTGCCCCCAGG